GTTAACGATCATTTCGGGTTTCAGTGTGTCGAAACTGAACTCGCTGCTGTTCCGAATCTTACGTGCACGCCGAGCAGTGAGGATCGACGTTTGGGGTTCGAATTTCACACTTGTGGCCCTCGATACTTACAGCGTTCACGCATTTTCGAATGGCATGTCGCAGCAACGTAGGATTTTGTTTCCCTAACAGCTGCTTCTATTTCGACACCGTGTTCCAGCACTGCCACTCTGCTGTTACTCTGTTTGACGAGCATCGTCCTATTCAACATTGCCATGATCATAGTTTCGTATGACTGTTTTTCACTCTCACAGGACCAGCAGTTCATCTTCTTCCTCGAACCATATGTCGTCCAACGTTTCGTCACCTCATCTTATTGTCCGGTCGAAAATCTTGCTAACTTCTGTGAACGTGTTTTGAACCGAGAGTGACATCTGTTTAATGAATATCGAAAGTTGCGTTGTTTGTAAATAAACATTTTATTTCTACTGCCATCTGATTATAAACATGATTTTGAACGGTTGTCTAAAATGATGTCTCTTTTTGTTCGAATGATTTCTGAGTACAACAAACAAATCAGTCATTGTTGGGAATACAGTCTGCTTTACAGTTTCGTGGTTTGACTCCGTTTGTGGAATCTTCATTCTTAAAGATTATGACGTGGCACTAATGTCAGTTTTTTTTGCATCATCGTCCTAAACAGCCTTGTTCTCTAGTAACGCTGTATCTACAGCAACATGGCCCATATAGCATGTAGTCCCATATTTTTCCTCACAAAATTTTACACTTATTTTTCACACAAGGGCGAATGGTGCGAAATAAGATTGCGGCTGGAGTCCAGTATCTTCCAGTGGAAATCCTGACTCTGAACGCCGGTTTGCAACAAGGCGAGCAGTTGCTCCTACCATAATATTACATGACAGCGTTTAAAAGCTGTTTTGTCATTATAGTTAATATTATTTATGCGACGGTGGTATCGAAAGCTTTCACTCTTGGAAGCTACGCAGAAAATCGGGGTTGTTTTATTTATTTTGAAAAACTGCTTTGTTGTCGTTTTGTCATCGTAGTTTAAGGCTAGTAGGGTTGATACAATGGAGTAACCAAGGTTTGTATCTGAGCGTTGTAGATCATGAGTCAGATTGATATCAGGCGACGGGGCAGAGTATTTCTGGTCGAATGAAGCATTTTGCCTAATTTTAGTTTTTTCACAATTATATCATTTACTAATATGCTTTGGCATAATTTTTGTCACTATATTCTGAAGTTGAACAAAGTTGTGTTTGCTCAGCCCTGGCACATTAAGCATCTTAATCATCAATGGGATTTTTTCCAATGCAGTCATAAGCGGATTCGCCAAACTACATGGGTATCTTCGATGGAAGCTAACATTCCTAACTTGACCGATTATGGACTATTAATCAGCCGGGAATGGCACAGATCATAGCGGAACTTCGTTTATGTTTA